GAGAGCAGAAAAAAAAAAAAAAAAAAAGCAAGCTTGTCAGGAGTGGGATTCGAACCCACGCCTCCAGGGGAGACTGCGACCTGAACGCAGCGCCTTAGACCGCTCGGCCATCCTGACCCGGCAGTTCATTCTTGTTCAGCTTGCCTTTCTACCCCAACCTAAACGCTACTCGCTGTCTTATTTTCCAGGTTTGCGAATTTTTCAGCCGCAGACTCGAGCCCGGAGGGGGATGTCGCTCCTCGTCCTAGTAAAGCGGATCCCTGCGCAGCTCAGGCTCCGAGCCTTGCAGAACTCCGCTTACCGGGCCTGGCTGCTGCACGTCCTCTCTCGAGTGTCCCGGGCCCTCGGGTGTCTTCGGATATCCTCAGGTGTCCCGGGGGTCCTCGAGTGTCCCCTGGTGTCCCCGGGTGTCCTCAGGTATCTCCGAGGGTCCTCGGGTGTCCCTGGGTGTCCTCGAGTTTCCCTGGATGTCCTCAGGGTCCCTGGGTGTCGCCGGATGTCTTCGGGGTCCTCGAGTGTCCCCGGGGGTCCTCGGGTGTCTCTGAGTGTCGTCCTCGAGGTCCTCGGGGGCCCCGGTCTGCTGCGGGTCTGAGTACTGCAGCGGCGCGGAAAGGCAGAAATAAACAGAAAGCCGTCATTTGTGTACCTCGAACCCGCAGGGCACCGATAGCAGCAAACGTCCTCAGGGTAGACCCTGGCGTACAGTTTCAGAACCGTCAGCCTCTGCAGCCGGGGTGTGTCTCTACAGCCCGGCTTCCAGCCGGAGGATCTCAAACTAGTCATTTTGGCTCTGAGGACCTTGGGACCTGCTTCCCACCCCCACCTCCTGGGGTTCAGTGTTTTGAGAGAGTCCCACTGTGTAGCCCAGGCTGGCCTTACACTTGCAGCAATCCTCCTGCCTCAGCCTCCGGAGTGCTGAGATCACGTCTAGAAACTGGTTTCGTTGGGGGGTTGGTTGGTTTGGACAGTTTCCAGAGTGTACATTCAGTTGATAAAAGCCACTGGTTAATCCTTGCACTGAGCTCAAATGTCCATCTCCAGATAACTGAGTAGATGCAGCCCCACCCAGACCTACTGAAAATTAAGTTTTGCTGTTTAAAAACGCAGTAATGGGGCTGGGCATGGAGGTGCACGCCTTTAATCCCAGCTCTTGGGAGGCAGAGGCAGGCGGATCTCTGTGAGTTCAAGGCCAGCCTGGTCTCCATAGTGAGTTCCAGGCCAGCTGGGGCTACAGGGAGACCCTGTCTGAAAAGACCAAAAACAAAACAAAACCCCACGGTGATTAAGGTTAATAACATGTATTATATACTTGAAAATTGCTGAGAGATGTGAGAGGTTCTCACCACGAAAAAGTATTTAATTAACTGTTACTCGTCTTTTTCCTTCCCTTTCCCTCATTAGCTTCCAAGACAATAGTCCTGGGCAGTGCACCGAGCTGGCCCCAGACTCTAGAGAACTCCATGGCTGACTGCCTGGTGCCAGTGCTAACCTCTGTATGATTCACCCTAAGGAAAACTGATCTGAAGATGCTCTGAACCTGCCAGTGGCTCCCTGTCCAGCCTGTGCCCATTGTCAGACTGTACCCAGAGATGGAGCTCTGTGGTGGTGTTTCCGAGTCCCCTAAAAGACAGTGGTTGCCTTGCCAAGCAGATCTCAGTCACTTGAGGCAGAGCCGGCCGATCTTTATGTGTGTGTATAAAGTTATAAATTTACTTATTTATTTAATTTGTTTATTTATTTTGTTTGAGTGTATTGGTTGCATGTAGGTAGGTGTGCCCGTGTTGTGCAATGCCCACAGAGGTCAGAAGAGGGCGTCGATCTCTTAGAACTGGAGTTAAGGACGATTCTTAGTCACCATGTGGGTGCTGGAAATCCAACCCCGCCCCCCCAGTCAGTGAGTGCTCTTAACCTCTGAGCTATCTCTCCAGCCCCTATAAAATTATATTGTATATACATAAATTTATATGTGTATATTTATGGCACTTAGGTTCCTAAACCACTGCCTCTTTGTATCTCAAAAAATTAGGAAACAGAAATTGGTAAAAGGAAATTAATTAATTTATTTATTCCAAACTGGTCAGAAAAAGACTCCTTTCTTGGAACAGTGTTAAAATTTTATCAGAAAAAAAAAATGAAAAAAGGCTGAGGGTGTAGCTCAGTCAGTAGAGTGCTTGCCTGGCGTGCACAGGGCCCTGGGTTCCACACCCGGCACCTCATACACCATTAAGTTGTTGTTGTTGTTGTCTTGGTCTTTTCAAGACAGGGTCTCACCACACAGCTCTGGCTGGCCTGGAACTTTCCGTGCATACAAGGCTGGACTCGAACTCACAGAACTCCACCTGCTTCTACCTCCTGCGTATCACTACACCTGGCTTTGCTTTTTTGAGATGGAGCCTTAATATACGATATGTAGCCCAGTTTCGCATTGAACTTGTGATCCTCCTATCTCGGCCTCCAGAGGGCCAGGAATACAGATATGCCCCACCATGCCCAGCTCTAAGATAAGTTTTCTTTCTAATACATTTTAACATACCCATTATGCAATCACCTACATTTCTCAAGCATTAAAAATAATCTATTTTCTCTGTGTATGTGTGCTTGCATATGTATGTATGGGTGTACATGTACCATAACACGTGTGGAAGTCAGAGGACATCTTGAAGGAGCTGGTCCTCTCCTTCCACCACGTGAGTCCTGGGGAGATTGAGCTCAGGGTGTCAGGCGTAGCAGTCTGAGCCACCTTGCCAGCCCTCCTTAGCACTTTTTTAATGTGTAGAAGTGTTTTCTCTGACGTGTATGAGTACACCTTGTGCATGCCTGGTGCCCACGGAAGGCAGAAGAGGACATCCAATCCCTCAGAACTGGAGTTAAAGATGGGTGTTAGCTGCCATGTGGGTGCTGGAAACAGAGCCCAGGTCCTCTGTAAGAGCAGCCACTGCTCTTAACTGCCGGGTCATCTCTCCAGCCCCCCAAACAATTTTTTTAAAAAGATGTTTGTACTCTGTTTCCCATGAATTTCTAAAAATACAATTTGAACACAAATGAATGTTCATTTATTTATTGAGATAGGGTGTTGCTATATAGCCTGGGCTGACCTTAAACTCATTATGTAGTCCAGGCTGGCCTCAAACACCTAGTGGCTCCCTTCTGAGTGCTGGAATTTCAGGCATGTACCATCATGCTTGACTTAAATGACTGCTTAGCAGGGATAAGTGATACTCTCCTCCCAGTTCAGTGTAAGCAAGCAGCTTGGGGTAGCTATTGTTTGAGAAAGGGGGCACCCTGGGTGCTGGGCTTCTGTGAGGTGGAGGAAGGAGCCTGCTGTGGTTTGAATGTGCCCTCCCTGTTTTCATATGTTGGGGACTTAATCCTCAGAGTCATATATTATGTGTGTGGTGGGGGCATAGTAATGACTTTTACAATATGGACATACTCTGAACCAATAATTTTTGCCTAATCTTCAAACATAATGTAAACAAGTTCACTGAACCATGTGCCCCTCTTGTGACCTGGACATCTGACCTTAATCCCTCAGGCCCCTTCCTAGCCCTCTACCCAAGACAGTGTATAAATGTGTGTATGTGTGTTTTACATATCAACGCATCAAAGCACTGAAAACGGCACTTTTTTCATTGCAAATGAGGAGAGAAATTGAGAACCATCTGTTTGTAGCTGTGCGTGCAGTAGTCTAGATCTGCCACTCAAAGGACATCCTTTTCTGATAAGAGTGGGTCTGACTTTTACTTTCTCATTTCATGCTGGAGGTACTGTTCCAATAGAGAAGTGAAGGCCTTGCTCAGGAGCACAGTTCTGAGACAAATCTGAAGGAACAGGTGCTCAGCGGCTCGGGTCCACCGCTAGTCTTAAAATGGATAGCAAAGTTGGGCTGCTTTTCAACAAGGCATAGCCAGCTGTTATGTGGCATGGGACAGTAAATGCCCCAAGGGGGCAGGGCTAGGTGTGGAACCCAAGACCTAGTACACGGTAGGCAGGAGCCTTACCACGGAGCTTCACTCTCCTGGTCACCTGGAGGAAGCTCACTCACCAACAACGTCACCTTAATAGCAGCAGGAATGAAGTCAGCCTCGACACAGGGCTTAGAACAGGCCTTTTGGAGGGTAGTTGGATCTACCCCACCCGCTGCAGTTCCCCAGCCCTGCCTGTTCTGGTGATGGCTCCCTTAGGCCTGGGACCATCCACACCGCACTGCAATGACAGCCCATTCCCAGGCAGTTTTTATTCTTGTCTTGCTTTGTCCCAGTCCTTCCTGTTGAGATAAACAAAGGCAAATTCAGACAGACTTATTTATTAGGTAAAGTCCATAGACAGCATCCATCCTGGAAGCTGGAGAAATGCAAGTGGAAGGTGTAAGCCTGGACACACGTGCATGTGGACGTGGTCCGGGATTTCCTCCTCCGTCATTGCCCTGTCTGGTCCTCCAGCGCTGAGTGTCTCAGCTGCTCCTCTCTGCCCACAACTTCAGCACACACAGGGAAGCAGGGCCAGTCTCCTCCAGTATAGAGGTTGACTTGGGAATTTCCCTAAGGCTCAGGAACGTGGATGAGGGGTGGAAAGAATGTAACAGCTGGATAATAGGGGTAGTAAGAGCCGCGAAATGCCATCTTCTGGTCATGACAATAGCAGCTGTGACTGCCTGCACTGGGCCTGTACCAGATTGGCTCTGTCAGCTGTCAGTCATGGAGGTGGGAGGGGCCCTGTCCCTCCCTGCTGGGCTACCAGCTGCTGACAGATTGAGGGAAAGGAAAAGGTATAATCTTCAGGTATAGACCTGCTGCTGAGCCCACCAGGCTCCAGTGGATAGTTCCAAGCTGTGATCACACAGACAGGCCTGGTTAAACGCAGTGGGTCATTCATAAAACAAAGCAGAGAGATCTGAATTTGGGAAAGGGATTTGTAGGGAGCAGAGGACATTGACAGAGGGGAAGGGAGGGAGATGAGGAAGGGGGAGGAGCGAGCATACACAGATGCATATACATGTATGAGGGTGTCAAAGAGCAATTTAATTAATAAAAATATTTGAGATATAGGCCTGAAAAACCCTAGGGACAGACAAGTGTACATGGTTGGATCAAGTTCACCTCATTTGTCTTGTCTCCTCCAAATTGCTTTATGAGATTTTAGCTTAAGATCTTCCTTTCCCAGAACCCTTTTTTTCCTTTCTAGAACCCATTCCTCCACACACACCTTCCAGGTACCAGGATATTTCTGCCACAATGCCATGTCCACCTAATTCCCTCTGGTCCCTAGGAGGTTGTATCAAGGCCTTCCCTGTAGGCTCTGGCCTGAAGGGATATGGGCACACTAGAAATAGTTTAGGAATCACCTCTCCATCCCCCCAAGATTGGTATAGAAACACGTGAGAAGCCCTTTTCCCTCCACCTTCCCAAGATGACTTAATCACCATCCACTAGGAAGAACCCTGGCTGCAGGGAATGGACAGGCAGACCAAGGCGCCACGAAGAGTCAGGAAAGGGAAATGAGCTGGACTGTTCCTTAAGGTACTGCCTGGCTGGCTGGGGAAGGGATTAGTTTGGAATGGAGAGTTTCTGTGTCCCTGGCAGTAAAGCCCTTCCCCAGAGGGGACAATGGAATGTTCTTAGAAAGGTCCTGGGCATCAGTAATGACTGTGACCTGCTCAGGCCCACAGGCTGCTGGGCAGATGGTCAGGGGCTTTTTACCACAGGACCACAGGCAAAAGAAGGGCCGGAGAGGGCCTGAGAAAGAGATGCTGGGGAAAGCATAGATGAGAGACCCATCGGTCATACTGTAGAAGGAGATGTCTCCTGATTCATAGTCCAGGAAAATCCCAACCCGCCGAGGGGCTCCTGCTAATGGGAGAGGGGTCCGGAGGGGGGTGAGAGCCCAATACTCATTTCCATACAGCTCCACAGCCCAGAACCCATTCTCAGGAGTCATGGGGTCAAACCCTTTCTTCATCACGTTCTCCCTGCACACCCCGAGGGCCCAGTCGGTCCTATCTCCCACCTCCACCTCCCAGTAATGTCTCCCTGAAGTGAAGGTCTCCCGGCCTAACACACAGGGCCAGGAGTCGAATCTCTCTGGTCTATCAGGCTGTGTCTGGTGTGAATCTTCTAGGCGAACCGACTTTGAATCCTCATACAGAAAGAGGTAGGGGTGGGCTGTGTCTGCATCCAGAGTCACGTCAACTGGAAGCAGAGAGGGTGCATGAGCGAGTGCTGGACAGTGCAAGACCTGGCCTGTCTTCAGAGACTTAGAGCAGTGCTGGGACAGCCCTAGAGTCCCTGTGATGGGGGAGCTGCCTGGCCTCTCCTGTCACCATTCCCTTGACAGCTGGGATTATGTAAGAGCTGACATTGTTAGAGGAATTTTTCTGCTGGCCCTCTTCTGAGTCCCCTGGATGCCCCTTGAGGGAAGTGCTGAGGCCCCTTGTCCCCACCCCCCTTTCTAGCCTCATCACTAAAGAGAACATAGGGTGCTCTTGTGTTCAAGTCTCACAGGTTTTGGACTTCCTGGGAGACGTCAGAGGCTCTGAGAAACCCTGGGACACTGACTGACCTTCGTGCAATGCGGCTTTTCTGTTTTCTGCAATGAAGAGAGCAGCTGTCAGCAATGGGTTAAAAAGTAGGAGGAGAAAATCTTGTGTGTAAAAGGAGAAAGAACTTACTGAGTTCTTCCAGGAGCCTCTCTGGAAAACAAACAGAAATCTCAGAGGTTGTTTTTAACGGTCAGGAAGGAGGGAAACACACAAAGAGGCACTGTTTTGTGGCTGGACAACCACCAAAGAACCAGGAACAGGATTTTGTTTTACTTTCTAAGAAATAATCTGGAAGTTCCTGCCAGTACGGATCTTTAACAGTAAGATCTTTACTGGGAAACTGAGTTAGAATTGGCCATAGGGTCTGAAGTTGTGAGGACACATAAGGTATAAAATGGCAACTGGTATTGGTTTCCACTCTGCCTATGTCCCAAGTCAATCTTCTTCATGATAGGCACCTGTGATTTTAGGAGGCCTGTAATTCCTTCCAACTTCAGAATTCTGGAATCCAGCATCTTCCTATTGGAAGTCACCCCAGCAGTGTGTCCAACTTTACCCCGGGCACTCTGACAAGAAGCCTTTGCGGGCTCTGTGACTTACCCTTAGAGCCAAATTCGGCCCCCCTCTGTCTGGATCTCTCCTTGTATAGTCTCCAGGTGAAAAGCACGGACCCGATGGTGAGAAGTCCCAGGGCTACGGCGAGGAAGAGCACTGCGACCATCCAGACAGTCAGCTTTGAGAAGAACGGAGCTGAAAGGGAACCCAAAGGGGGAGCTGCCTTCAGAAACTCAGCAACTCCAGCCTCTGCTGGCACGAAAAAAGGCAAGAAATGGGGACTCCAAGGACACTTCCCATCCCTCACAGCAAAAGTGCGGCTCCAAAGCCACTCCCAACTCTTCAGAAAAATTTGAGCCTGGGCAAGGGAAAGCCCTGGAGAGTCATTTGGGAACAGAACACCTGAAACCAAGGAAATAATGGGCCACTTCCTGTTCTCGAAATTCCTTGTTAACTGTCGAAGCAGAATGGGAGCCAAGAGGCGAGGAGGTTGGGGGGGAAGAGGAAAGTCACCTCTACAAGGGACAGAATGGGGCCTGCTGACCGAACCAGAGATTCTAACTAGGCAGAGAGGATCCTCTTCCGGGAGTTACTTGACACCCTGGACTCCGGTGTGGGATAAGGCAGGGAGAGGAGGGTAGACCCAGAAAACCAGAAAATGAAGTCTCCCTGCTTACTCAAGGGGAAGGACCGAGGTCAGAACTTCTCTGTCTCACATGGGAGGTGGGTGTGGAGGAGGCAGGACTGGGAATTGAATCAAGGTCTTCATGCATATTACACAAGTACCCTGACACTGAGATTCAGCTCCAACTCTCAGTCTTTTTATTTTAGTGAGTTGGTAGGGCTTCCTTAAATCAGCAGGCAAGAGCTGCAGGGAGAGGGGTATGGAGAATATGGACAGCTGTGCCGTGATGCCCCTTCTGAGCAGTGGCGCAGGTCACCTGGCCCTGTCTTTGTCAACAAACAGACCCAGCACTGGTTCCACTGACCTGGTATGGAAATCCCCACTTCCTTCTCCTGGCTGAGGAGGGCGTTCTCGATGCCACAGGACACATTCCCCACAGAGCTGTCTCTGATGGTCACTGAGGCCACCACCGTGAACAGGCCTTCCTCGTCAGGATTCCTGGATTCTGATGTGGATGGAAATCTCTCTCCTGAGGAAGTTCTCCACTCCACCTGGGGCTCTGGGTACCACCCTGAGGAGGTGCACTCCAGCCGGATCCCTTTGTCCTCTTGAACTTCCATCCTGATGTGAGGATCGGATCCCAGAGCTGTGGAGAGAGAAGCTGGCCTCAGCCTTTCGGTGGAACCCTCTGAGAGCCTGATAATCAGAGAGAGAGAGAGAGAGAGAGAGAGAGAGAGAGAGAGAGAGAGAAAAGTGGAAAGTGGATTGGAATGGGAGAGATTCCTGTAGCCTTCCTGTGTGACAGAAGACTGAAGTATCAATAAAAAAAAATGTCAGGGTCTGGAGAGATGGCTCAGAAGTTAAGAACCCTTGCCGTTCTTTCAGAAGACCAGGAGTCCATTCCCAGCATCCAGATGATGGTTAAAAATTATCAGTAACTCCAGTTCCAGGGGATCCAATGCCCTCTTCTGGCCTCTGTGGGCACTGCATGCATGTGATGCACTGCCTTGAATAAAGGCAAAACACACATACACATCAGACATTTTTAAAGCCTTATGCCTTATCAGAAAGGGATGCCCTATTGAGATCAAGCTTTTCAAACACAAGCAGGGGTTTGATGGGCAAACATGAGGTGCTTGTCCAGCCGGCAGGAACAGCAAGGACAATGGCCAAGAAGTGGTTAGAAGCTCCAGAACTGACACAGAGCTCTGTGTTTGTAAGCACGTAACACGGATTTGGGAAAGAGGTGACTAAGATTGGGGTATTTTAGGATGTATAAAAAAGTCTTCTCCTCCTTGTGAGACCCTTGCCTCACCTCCCACATGCTGGGATTATAGGCTTGTGCCACCACAAGCCGTTTTCTGCAGTGCCAGGATGGCAACCCCAGGGCTTCATGCATGTTAGGCAAGCACTCTACCAACGAAGCCAAATCCCCACTCTCCAAAAGCCTTGAGAACACGGTTTGGAGGCTATCTTTTTTTTCCTGGTGTTTCAGTTGATAATTTAAATTTCCTTTATCTGGCACGCTGACTCAGGAATTTTCTTAAATGGCTTCTGCCTCATCTTTCCTCACACAATGATGCTCTAACAAAAAAAATCAACATAGACCCAGGGATGTGGGGATGTACCACTGTAATCCTAGCACTCAGGAAGTGTGAGGCCAGAGAATTTCAAGGCCTGCCTCAGTTAAATACTGAATTTGAGGTCAGCTTGGTATGAAACTCTACATCAAAAACAGCAATAACAAAATCAATAAAATTGCTTTCCCCGTCTGTTTAGCCTAATTCTTTCCTTCCTTCCCTTCTCCCCCATGCCAGCCCCCAGTGCTACGGGGTACAGAAAAATACTGAGTTGCAGAGAAGCTTCCTCAAACACACACTCCCAATTTCCCATATTCCAAATTGGTGTGTATAAGAATGCAGATTCTTTTCTTGAAAGTGGCCACCACTTTCATCAAACACTCAAAGATGTCTTTCACTCTTAAAAAATAAGAAGTTTTATGTCAGCAAACATCTGGGCAGCTTGTCTTTTCTTTTCCCCATAATGTTTATTACTGTTGTTTGCGGCAAGGTTTCCTGTAACCCAAGCTGGCCTGGAACTTGCTAGGTAGCCCAGGTTGCTGTTGAACTCCTATTCCTCATCTGCTGCTGAGATTACAGGCTATATCTCTTCATCCAGTTTAAATATCTCGTTTTTTTTTTTTTTTAATGTATATAATCAGTCTTTGAGAGACCCTTCCCTAAAAATGAAATGAGAATCATTACGTTTGGCGATATATTTGTGGGCTGGGGAGGTGTAGTTCTGTTCGTAGAATCTCGCTTAGTATGAGGAAAGCCCTGAGTTCTTTCAATCCCACGGCACCACCTAAACAGGACATAAGGATGTGCCTGTAATCTCAGTACTTGGGAGGTGGAGATAGGAGGGCAGAAGCTGCAGCATCTCCCACATGGTCTAGCGGTTAGGATTCCTGGTTTTCACCCAGGCGGCCCGGGTTCGACTCCCGGTGTGGGAACAGTCAAGTTTTTTCTTTTAAATTGAGCGAGGTGATTCATTCCTGTGACCCTAGCACTTAATGACTCTAGCACTTAGGAGGTACAGACGGGAGGGTCATGAGTTTAAGGCCATCCTCAGCTGCAGAGCAAGATTGAGGCTGGGGTCTATGAGACTCAAAAAATAAGCAAGTAAACAATAATTAAAAATTGAAAAAAAGAAAGGCAATATATTTGTGTATTACATATATTAGCTTAAGAGGCAAGAAGACCTTTAAAAGTACATAACGCTTTTAGCATTGGTAAACTTTGTTTCTTTATCATCTAACTTTATTTCCTTTTTGCAAACTCTTGCTGGATATATCTTCCCCAGTTTTACAGTAGGAAACAGCAGGTTTACTTGATGCCGATCACTAGTAAGTGAGAAGTTTGCTTGGTGCATTCTTTTCTAAGATTCTAAGGAATGGTTACATTTCCTGATTCCTGAATTTGGGCAGGTGTGTGTGTGTGTGTGTGTGTGTGTGTGTGTGTGTGTGTGTGTGTGTGTGTATGGAACGACAGGTCGGGGGAGGGAGGGAGGGAAGGAGAAAGGGAGAGAGGGAGGAAGAGAGGGAGGGAGAGAGAGAGCACAAAACCTTTTCTGGGTGCATCAGTGTTAGCTCTGGCCACACTCTACCTGTTAGGATGTCAGCCCTTAAACACTAACTCACCTGAAGCCCCTCTGAATATACTCTTCTCACCACAGCCTTACATAAACGGTGAAACAGACACAACTTAAACCTCCAGTTCTGGGAACTGGTCCAGTAAAGCTCGGTGTGCTTTACGAAGCAGTGTAACAACTGGCTGTGGTGATGTACACCTGTGATCCCAGCACTGAAGGTAGAGGCAGGAGGATCACCATGAGTTCAGGGCCACAGAGTAAAATAAAAATAATAAAAAGAACGCTACTCATTTACATCCTACATTTTCTTAATTTTCTTGGGGGGATATTTGTCCTGCAGGAAAGATATTTCTTTCTGCACACCCCACCGGCTGAGCCCCCTCCCACCGATTCCCCCACTCTGAACCAGCCACCGCTCTTGGACGCCAAAGAGATTTGGAAAAGAAGTCGGGTGGCTCCCTAGGTGAGCGTCTGTGGGAGGTGTGATGCTCAATACCCACCTGCTACTTTGAGATGCACGGTGGCCTGGGCGGAGCTGGCGTTGTCTCTGCAGAGGCACAGGTACGCCCCGTCGTCCGAGGCCCTGACGTCTCGGATGTGCAGAGCAGCGCGGCCCTCCCGGAGCCCCGCGGTCAGCAGCGCCGTCCTCCCGCGGTACTCGGCCACCGGCTCAGCCTCCTGGCCCTGCTCGGACCGGTGCAGGAGCACCATGGGCCTCGCCGTCTGTCGGAACCACCACAGCTCCAGGTGCTCTGCGCTCACGTTCGGAGAGAGGCGACAGGGCAGCTCGGCGTCCCCGCCCACCAGGGCCAGCACTGACTCCTGGGGTGCGACCACATCAAACCGAGCTGTGGGAATGGCAAGGTCAGAGGCCATGGGATGGAACGGAGGGCCACCGCCAGGCTCCTGCCGGAGGAGAGCCCCTCACACCGTCTGCTGCCCCTCCCTTGTACTGGGATTGGGGTGTGCACCACGCCCTTCCTTTCTTTTGTTTTGTTGAGACCGGACTTTGCTAGATCGCGCAGCTTTGAACCAGAGGCAATGCTCCTGCCTCAGCTCCCGAGTGCTGGGATTACAGGTATGCTCCACTGACCTGGCTTGTTTCCTTTGAGTCCACTGGACTCTGATGTAGGTGTCCAGCCAGAACTAAACTGGGTTACTGGCACTTATTAGGACCTTCCAACACTGTAGGGGGATAAGAAGAGAGACCTACCGGAGTCCAGCCTGGGCAGCTGCAGGACCATGAGGCTGAGCAGACCAACCAAGAGGTGGGAGTTGGGGGACACTGCCATCTCTGACCTTACTGGGCAGCAGGCTGCTGATGGAGTTCGCAGGAGCTTCGGCCTGGAAGGCAAATGGTCAGGGGGTGACTGTGGGCTCTGCGGAACCCCTGCTGTCCACAGCCCCTTCCTTCTGCTCTGTGCCACCTCTCCAGGGAATTTTCAGTCCAATAGCACCACCCACACCCTTCCCTAAGTCCAATAGATAAATGAGGAAATCTTGGGATCTCCACATTTAAAATAGTCTTCTTTAAGAGAAAAATGTGTTCTTTGAGTTTAAAAACGACAATAAAATTAGAGCCGTGGAGGTGGATGGATATGGATAACAAGAAATGAAGAGGAAAGATGGAAGGTGGGAGAGAGAGAGAGAGAGAGAGAGAGAGAGAGAGGAAGAACAGATGGCCTAGCACAGGGAAGGAGATGGAAGACTCTTGCCCAGAAATAAAACACCCACGACCTCAATGGTCTTGGAGAGAAAGCCAGGAAGGAGCCACGGCTACCAAGAGAGAAAGCTGCGGGTGGGTGGCCCAGGGCAAAGTTAAAAGCCAGTGGGAGGCGGAAGGGGAAGTACTGTCCAGAAAGCCTGCCCCCAGGTAGCCTGGTGAACGATGGATTCGTGGTCTAGATTCTTGATCTTCAGTTTAGAGATCAGGATATGCATTAAGGGACAGGACTAAATAAACCAGAATGAAGAGAAAAGGTCTGAGTAACTAAACGCTGTGTGAGGCTGTCAGCCACTTAATCCACCTCCCTAAACTTCAGTCTTTGGTCTCTGAAAACAAAAGGAAGCCCAGTGTAATGGTTCATCCTTGTAATGTCAGAGGCAGGGGCAGAACCACAATTCAAGTCCAGCCTGGGCTACATAGCAAGGTTCAGGCTGGTCAGGACTACATACGGAGAACCTGACTCAACAAAACAAAATGAAACAACAGAAAATTTAAATGTAATTGTGAGCCTACCCCTCCCCCGCTCAGTCTCCGGCACTGAAAAAAGGAAAAGTAATGTTTGAATTATGCTGAGGAGAACCACGTGGGGAAGGTGAAGTGAATTTAACCAGCAGGAGCCCAGAGGTAACTTATTCTGTCACCACGTATGAGAAAACGAAAGGGCAGAGCCGGAGGCGGGAGACAGCAGCTCACCGCCCCGCAGCCCCTTCTCGGGGGGGGGGGGGGGGGGGGGCGGAGGGGCTGCTATGCGCAGGTGACATGATTTCACCTGTTGCCCACCTTGAGCAACCGCAGCAGCTGTGGCCACTTACAGAACCCGGAGCCACCCTATGCTAGGGTCACTCATGAGGCCATAAATTCCTTATTTGATATTAAATCTCTATTTCTTACAGAAAAAAGTGGAAGATTACAGAAAAATAATTATATAGCGTGTAGATCGCCGTGGATTAATGATAGGTCGGTATCCCTCGTGTTCATTGGTATACTCCCTCCCGGAATTTATTTTATACTTTGCACATCCCTGAAACAGTGTAATTCAGAGCTTATCTGCTAACTGTACAATTGCCAAGATTGTGGGATGTTTTGTTCTTTTATTTTCTACTGTAAATGATGCACTTGATGTTGTAGCTCAGTTGGCATCGTGCCAGCTTAGCATGCAGGAAGCTCCGAGTTTGATCCCCAGCACTGCCTGAAATCAGGCACGGTGGCACACACCTGTACTCCCGGGTAGACGCACACACCTATGATATCAGCTGGAACAAACTTAAAGTCATTCTCAGCTATAGAATCAGTTTGAGGCCAGCCTGAGCTACTTGAGACTTTGTTGCAAAAGTTCTACAGTGCCCTTCGATAGCTCAGTTGGTAGAGCGGAGGACTGTAGGAGAATCACTTCAGGTATCCTTAGGTCGCTGGTTCGAATCCGGCTCGAAGGAGGCCTGTTTTGTTGACATGTGCAGACTTCGTGTCTAGTGCAAGGATCCATATGTGACTGTGAGATGACAAAAATCCCCCGGACATACCTGGTGGAAGGAGAAAATTGATCTGAAGCCCACAAGAGGTGGCCCACTCATTTCCTAAAGTAAAAAAGTGTAATACATTTTTTTTAAATGCCCTTTTTTGGTGGGGTGAGGTAGAGGCAGGTGGATCTCTGCTGGGAGTCTGAGGCTACTCTGGTGTCCATGACCAGTTCCAGGCTAGCCAGGGCTATTAAATAGTGAGGCTCTGTATTAAAATGATTTTTAAAAAGTACTTTATGCATAGTTTTTTGTTCACAACTTGGATGACTTCTTTTTTTCTTTTCTTTTTGAGACAGTGTCTCCTTGTAGCCCCAGCTGGCTTGGGACTCACTATGTAGACCAGGCTGGCCTCGAACTCACAAAGATCTACCTGCCTCTGCCTCCCAAATGCTGGGATTAAAGGCATGCACCACCATGCCAGGCCTGTATGACTTCTTGATAAACTGTCTGATCCCATTTCTAGAAATAGAGCCATTGGGTCAAAGGACATGAGCATGTTATCTGCAATGTTGAATGGAATGTGGCACCCATTCAAGGCATCCTTGAGTGTCCCTGCCAGAAAGGGAACATTTATTTATTTATTTATTTATTTATTTATTTATTTTATTTATTTATAGACAGGGTCTCCCCATGTAACTGTCCTGTAACTTGCTATGCAGACCAGGCTAGTTAAAAAAAAAAAAGCTATTATCTTACATACTTACTATGGAAACTGGTAAAATTTGCTAAATTATTATTACAAAGCCTTTGTCTGGTATTGAGGCTGGTCGTTTTCACATATTGATTGACCACTTACTGTAGTGTAGATTATTTATAGACAGGGTCTCCCCATGTAACTGTCCTGTAACTTGCTATGCAGACCAGGCTAGTTAAAAAAAAAAAAGCTATTATCTTACATACTTACTATGGAAACTGGTAAAATTTGCTAAATTATTATTACAAAGCCTTTGTCTGGTATTGAGGCTGGTCGTTTTCACATATTGATTGACCACTTACTGTAGTGTAGACAACGGTCATTGGACAGTTGCCCATGTTTTCAAGGCTGTCTCTCTGATGCTTATTACAATCTGTGTGGACTTTTTAGAAATTAGAGATAATAACATGTGCTTATGACACAAGTCCTTCCCATTTTATTTCCTTTTAAGTAGATTATGATTAAAACCAAGGATAATCACCCCAATTGGCCCACTAGATTACTGGAGAATGGATTGAATCTGATCATAGTATTTTTTGCTTAAGAATCCCTACAAGTCTGAATGTTGGTCAAAATGTCATATTCTTCTTGTTCAGGGTCAGAGGAAATGCACACATCAAGAGATCGGGGTCTTCAGTTCTGAATTCATGCCTCATCACTGTGGGTAATGTGTGTTTTAAAACATTTTGTACGATAAATTTAAATATTCCGTCCTGGTTTATGGGATTAAAGGGTAAAAATGAGATCAGTTGCCAAGTCATCAGGAAGGCATTTTGCCTGTGTTTTTTCATTTATTGGGCCTTAGAACCATGCTGAAGCTGAAATTGTTACGCTTGCTGGCCTTGTGGTGGTGGTACACATCTTTAATTGGGAGGCAGAGGCAGGCAGATTTTTGTAAGCTCAAGACCAGCCTGGTCTATATAACTAGGTCAGCCAGGGGCTACATAGTAAGAGGGAGGGAGGGAGGGAGGGAGGGGGAAAATGCTGTAGCAGGCACAGGCATGCCCAAGCTGTGGCCACAGCTGCATATAGGCACACGTACCCCAGAGAACTGTGGACGGGACCCAACACCAGATGGTAAACTGATTAACATTATGAGATTTTTGTGTGGGACTCTTCTTCTCCAGCATGTACTTGGCAGATGACAGGGATACCGCAGTGTCAATAAACTCTTCCTTCTGCCCCCCATCTGCCTATTCTAACAGGACCGACAGTTAGTAGTTATCCTCCCTCTTCCAGAATATTCCACCCCTCTCTTGTCTGCACTACCAATGTCTGCTCCTCCCTCAAAACCTTCCTGAGGGCTGTGACTTTCGCAACTTCTTCCAAAAGCACGCAGATACAACTATACTTTGTTTCTGAGACAGTAGCTGAGGGTGACCTGGGAGTGACCCCCTCCGCCACAGCGATCCTCCTGCCTCAGCCTTGAGTGCTGGCATTAAAGGTGAGAGCCACCATGCCCGGGCTGCACAATTGCTTTATCTGGAACTTATATCTACAAGTTTCTAAACACAGTAAGTTACTTATACATCTATTTCTCCATATACTCATCTAAATTTTATTTTTTTTTAAAAAAATTTGAGACAATGTGTCACTATGTAGCCCCAACTGGCCTGGAGCTCACTGTGTAGACCAGACTGGCCTCCATCTTATAGAGATCTGCCTGCCTCTGCCTCCTGAGTGCTGGGGTCAAAGGTGTGTGCCATCACGCCTGGTCCTAAAATTTTTTTTGTTACATTTTTATTTATGTATTGTGTGTGTATGTGTGCAGGTGTGCCAGGCACTGAGGCCAGGAGTTCACGTTCTGTTTCGGAGTTACTCCCAGCGTTCTGTAGCTTTTGGTCTGGTTCCTCTTCAGGTGAGGCAGCAGCTGCAGGCTTTGCAGGAGCTGTGGAGATAGTGCTGAGTAACAGCTCTGGCTAAACTGAGCCAAGAGGGAGGGCTGGGGCGGGTGAGTGCCAGCAAAGTGCTGTCTTCCCTGACTTGCTTTGGGGTCACCTGTTCTTTGGGTGACACACATGACTAACATCCATACAAGAATCAGGTATGACCAGGTGGCATTTTCACAGTACAGTCCTGAAATAATTTTATGTACCAAGCCCATATCAAAGAGATACAAGTGTGGTAGACCGGAACTTGCATTGCGAGGGGACAGTGGAAGCGACGCCACGAGAGGTCCAGAGAAGGTGGAGGTTCTCAGTGTGGAAGGCTCAGGGCACGGAGGAAGGTTGAACGTGCCAGCAAGAGGCTGAGATCTGTGTTGCATTCCGGGAAATGAAGAGTTCCTAGAAAAAAGAAGAGGGATATCCGTGGACTTTACAGAGCCAATAAACTGAGGCTGCACTGAGCTAGGTAGACAGAAAACTCAAGGACGAGTCTTCGAGGACCACTCTGCCCCGACAGCCCGTGTTCCCTTCCATCCCTGCTCCTGCTAACCCTTCTGTCTTTTGGGGCCTCACGCACAGTCAGCCGGAGTAGGGCTGTAATACCACCCCTACACGGCAGGCTGCGGATAACGTGTGAAACACAGAACTCAGACATTTCACCAGCAGACTGTACGTTCAATACAGGGCCAAGCACAATGGCACATGTCTGTGACCCCAGTATCTAGGAGGCTTTGGAAGCAGGAACAGCAGAAGGCCAAGGTCATCCTTGGCTACATAGGAAGTTCAAGGCCAGCCTGGGCTACATGACACCGCGTCTCATTAAAAAAAAGTCATTATCGTCCCTAAGCTGGCCCCTGATCCGGGCTTGTCTCAGGTTGGTTTCCCCTAAAGCAGACCTTAAGACAGAGATTTAGATGTAACATGAATAAACAAAAGACAACGAGGAACACCTAAAGTCTATATTGGGCTGCCATGGGGTGCTCAGTTTGCTGGGGACTTCTTTTATTTTGAA